AGGTTTTTTGACAACATCCATCATAGTTTTCTTTTAAAATTAACTAATGTATTTTAACTGGGGGATAATTACTTTACGACATCTTGATGGTTTTTGCCATGCATCAACATGAAATCGGCCACGGGTATACATGCGTCCCCCTCATCCCATACTCCCCCCCACCTCCCTCCCCACCTCATCCCTCTGGTTTGTCCCAGAGCACTGGCTTTGCGTGCCCTTCTTCATGCATCAAACTTGCACTGACCATCTATTTTCATATGTCATGTATATGTTTCAGTGTTATTCTTTCAAATCGTCCCATCCTTGCCTTCTTCCACTGAGTCCAAAAGTCTGTTCTTCACACCTGTGTCCCCTTTGCTGCCCTGCATGTAGGATTATCGGTACTGTCTTCCTAAATTCCATGTATTTGTGTTAATATATAGTATTTGTCTTTCGCTTTCTGACTGACTTCACTCTGTATAAAAGGCTCTAGGTTCCTCCACCTCACTAGAATTGATGGACATCTAGGTTGCTTCCATGCCCTAGCTATTGTAAATAGTGCTGTAATGAATATTGGGGTACATGTGTCTCTTTCGATTCTGGTTTCCTCTGGTATATGTCCAGCAGTGGGATTCTGGGTCATATGACAGTTCTATTCCCAGCTTTTTAAGGAATCTCTACACTGTTCTCCATGGATGTACCAGTTTGCATTGCCACCAACAGTGTAAGAAGGTTTCCTTTTCTCCATACCCTCTCCAGCTCTTATTGTTTGTAGACTTTTTGATGATGGCCATTCTGACTGGTATGAAATGATACCTCATGATGGTTTTGATTTGCATTTCTCTGATGAGTGATATTGAGCATCTTTTCATGAGTTTATTAGCTATCTGTGTGTCTTCTTTAGAGAAATGTCTATTTAGGTCTTTTACCCACTTTTGGATTGGGTTGTTTATTTTCTGTTATTGAGCTGCTTGTATATCTTGGAGATTAATTCTTTGTCAGTTGTTTTGTTTGCTATTACTTTCTCCCATTCTGAGGGCTGTCTTTTCACTTTGCTTACAGTTTCCTTCATTGTGTAAAAACTTTTAAGTTTAATTAGGTTCCATTTGTTTATTTTTGTTTTTATTTCCATTACTCTGGGAGGTGGGTCATAGAAGATCTTGCTGTGATTTATGTCAGAGAATGTTGTGCCTATGTTTTCCTCTAAGAGTTTTATAGTTTCTGATGTTACATTTAGGTCTTTAATCCATTTTGAATTTATTTTTTGTGTGTGGTGTTAGAAAGTGTTCTAGTTTCATTCTTTTACATGTAGTTGATCAGTTTTCCCAGCACCACTTGTTGAAGAGACTGTCTTTTCTCCATTGTACATTTTTGCCTCCTTTGTCAAACATGCGGTGTCCATATGTGCATAGATTTATCTCTGTACTTTCTATTTTGTTCCATTGATCAGTATTTCTGTTTTTTTGTGCCAGTACCATACTGTCTTGGTGACTGTAGCTTTGTAGTATAGTCTGAAGTCAGGAAGGTTAATTCCTCCAGTTCCATTCTTCTTTCTCAAGATGTCTTTGGCTATTTGGGATCTTTTGTGTTTCCATACAAATTGTGATATTATTTTTTTCTAGTTCTGTGAAAAATACCATTGGTAGTTTGACAGGGATTGCATTGAATCTACAGATTGCTTTGGGTAGCATACTCATTTTCACTATTTTGATTCTTCTAATCAAAAAATATGGTATATTTCTCTATCTGTGTCATCTTTGATTTCTTTCATCAGTGTTTTATATTTTTCTGTTTACAGGTCCTCTCTTTCTTTAGGTAAATTTATTCCTAAGTATTTTTTCTGTTGCTATTGTTGTTGCAATGGTGAATGGGATTGTTTCCTAATTTCTTTTTCTGACTTTTATTGTTAGTGTGTAGGAATGCAAGGGATTTCTGTGTATTAATTTTATATCTTGCAACTTTACTATATTTATTGATTAGTTTTAGTAATTTTCTGGTGACATCTTTAGGGTCTTCTATGTAGAGGATCAAGTCATATGCAAACAGTGAGAGTTTTACTTCTTCCTTTTCAGTCTGGATTCTTGTTATTTCTTTTTCCTTTCTGACCACTGTAGCTAGGACTTCCAGTCTTGTTCCTGATTTTAGAGGAATAATTTAAATTTTTCTCCATTGAGGACACTGTTTGCTGTGGGCTTTTTATGTATGGCTTTTATTATGTTCAGGTATGTTCCTTCTATGCCTACTTTCTGGAGAGTTTTTATCATATCATAAATGTGTGTTGAATTTTGTCAAAAGCTTTTTCTGCATCTATTGAAATAATCATATGGTTTTTATCTTTCAATTTATTAATATGGTATATCACATTGATTTGTGAATATTGAAGAATCCTTGCATCCCTGGAATAAAGCCCAGTTGATCATGATGTATGATTTTTAATATGTTATTGGATTCTATTTGCTAGAATTTTGTTAAGGATTTTTGCATTTATGTTCATCAGTGATATTAGCCTATAGTTTTCTTTTTTGTGTGTGGCATCTTTGTCTGGTTTTGGTATCAGGGTGATTGTGGCCTTGTAGAAAGAGTTTGGGAGTTTTCCTCCATCATCATAGTTTTTGAAAGCGTCCTTTGATCTAGCAATTCAGTTTTTGGAAATCTTTTATAAAGATATAAAAACATCAGTGCATATGTGTAAGGATGGTTATTGCAAATTTTATAAGAGCTGAAAAAATGAAATATGAATGCCTGTCAGAAGGGAAATTATAATGTCTTAAATTCTGAGCTATCAGGTGGCTTTTTAAATGTTTGTGTCTATGTATCTAAAGTAAATACAATGACATATTGTTAAATGAGAAGGGCAAGCTGCAGAGTCCTGGGCCATACATTTCTCCCTCTATGTTTGTATGTATATTTGGATGGCCAGGAGAATGGAGTCAACTATTTATTGCTGGAAGGGCTGATTGGGGATAATGGTATTTGAGTGGGAGATGGTTACTTTTTATTTATTTATTTTTTTAATATACTGAGTGTCATTTAGGTTTTAATGGCTATTTGTTCTTTGACAAATCTGTTCAGAAAGCAGTATAATGAGCACTACCTTTTTGAAATCAGTAAATGCTGAGATTCAAGAGGTGAGAAAAGCAAAGTCCTTGGCTTCTCCATGAATACAGCCTAGTGGAGGAAAATGGATAATTTAATAAAATAATCACAGTGACATGTAATTGCAAACTACAAGAGTTTCAAAAGTAGAGGAGAGGAAATTACAGACAGGATTGTGTGTGATGGACCAAGTGATGGAGCATAGAGAATCTCTGAGGAAGCAGTGCTTGAACTGGAATTATGAAAAGTGATAATTTAGTAGGCGAAGTGCAATTAAGTTGGGAAGGATTTCCACTCTGAAACAACAGTATTAAAATATCCCTAGGGCAGAAAGGACCACAGCATGTTGGCAGAACAGATAAAGGTCTGGTAGGACTAAAGTATGGGGAACAAGGAGGATATTTAGATAATAGCTAGGCAAAGGCTAGATCAAGCATTACCTTCAGGGTGCCAATAGCAATCTTGATTTATTACTAAGAAATAGTGTCCAAGAACTTTGGGAAGCCATAAGAAGGTTTTTATTAAAACTCAGATGTTCAGCATTTGGTTTCAAAAATGTCATTTCACATGCCCCAGTGTGGAAAATCAACTGGGTTGAGGAGAGATAAGAGTGGGAACATGCTCATTAGGAGGCTACTTAGTATTAATAATGATCAGGCAAGTGATGACTGGGACTAAGGTGGCTCCACCAGATCAGTTAGGCAACTATTTTAATAATCTAGGCAGGAGATGAGGGTGGTTTGGACTCAGAGCAGTGGTAGAGAAGATGGAGAGGGATGCATGCATTCTCCATAGCTGTCGCATTTCTTCAGTGTCACATGGACCTCTATAGGCTATCCATATAATTGATGCAATGAATTAATTGACAAATTCCAGCTGATATGAAGTCTACAGGTTTAACTATGGGTTTAGTCTATCCCATTTTGTAGTTTTGGGGTTTTTTTTATTGATATATTTTAAAATTAATTAATTTTTATTGCATTTCAGTAACTTTATTGAAAGGTATATCCCTTAGTACCAAAACATAATGGGAGTTGGTTAGGTTATCTATGGCAACTCAAAATTAACACTGATGTATTAAAAATATTGAAATTTATCAGTATTTTTGGAAAACTGTGAAGTTATTCATAAAACATGGTTTACAAAAGTATAAGACACACTGTGGTTCTTTGGTTTATTTTCTAATGGGTATATACACATAACATGATGTCAAAATTGGGTACAGCCATTCCTGGATGGATTCAGGCTACACATTGCTCTGAGTGACTCTCTGCAACACTTTAACCCGGTAGATTTCCAAACACTACACCTCAGCAACCTTGTAATTATGAAGTTGCCTACTTACATTTCTTAATACTTCCTTTTGGCACAGTAGGGGCAATTAATGTAAGTATACTCTCTTCCTTTTAAGCAAAATTCTAAGTTAGAACCAACAAGTTTTATAAAAACAGCCCTCAGTAAAAACTTATGGAGTGTTAAATCAAAAAGTTTTCTGAGTGACACTAATTTGTTTTGAGTTACTAGTACAGTAAAAACTAATTTTCTTGGTGAGACTAGACTGAGGCAGTAAATTTTGTATAAAACTTTTAAAATCATAGATACAAAATCACCTGTTTTCTAGAAAAGTATTAAAGATAACTTAACATGCCAAAATTAACAGGTTGGTAGTTTTGCTTTATGTAAATGCCCTCAAATTTAAATATGATTTCTATGTAGCAGTAAGGGCCACATCTCTGGGTTAATAATTACTTGCATCATAGGTGCCAAGAAACAATTCTCACTACCTAGAATTATTATACCTTAAAAAGTGCTAATCTAGTTGTAATGTTTTGAGGCTTCACAGCTTAAATACATTATATTATGGAATTCACAGCTCAGGATTGTAGAGAAAGCCTTCAGAAGTTTTTGTTGTTGTAACCATCCAATTAAAGGACCATTTCAGTAATTGTTGGAAGGTGGGTTATTCTGTAGTATCTATGTCTCAGTTGCCATGAACTACGCCCAGAAACAATCCACTTCAACTTCAGAATATTTGGTTTGACACACTTGTTCGATGAATGTTCAGTTAAACACTTGAATACGAGATCTTGCCAGAAAGTCAAATTTCTGCCACTGATCTTGGAAAGTTTCTGAAGATGTTCTACTCCTTCTGTTAACTCTATACACTTCTGTGCTTGGATCGCCAATGCAATGATAGACAATGTCAACACAGATGGCTTTGCTTTAGAAAATATGATCCTGCAGTAGCATGTCTTAATTTGGGCTTCTAGTTTTTCAAAATTAAGGCTACTCTCTTTTCATGTGGCACATTCTCTTGAAGGCGTGAATGACAGAGTTGTAGAAACAAAAAGTCAATAGTAGATTTGACTTTCCAACACACCTTCTCCAGTACAATCTTCTCCATTCTCATCAGGTCTGAAACCGTGAACCTCTACACACTTACTCAGATTAAGTCAGTTGCCAATGCAACATTGCTTTCCTCTTCTGTTGATTTTACAGCCAAATAGAAGCAGCTTAGTCCAACACACCCAATGTGCTTGGGCTGGACCTTCATTTTAGACAGGAATCTGTCTGGTAAATTCACAGCTAGAGAAAATGTCTCTGTGTCAAAGCCAAAGAACTGAGTTAGACTAAGAAGATCTTTTACTTCAAAGTTCCTCAGTCTTGCAAGCCGCAGACCTTTGGCTGACATCTCAGCTGCTATTCCAACAGGGCATTCAGCTGGTGTAGCAGTTTCTGAGAGTCAGTTGTTGTCAGTACCTCTATCATCTTGATTGTGACTGCAGTTCCTCAGCGGTAACAGCCCTCCCTGGGCCTGCTCTCACCTCACCCCACGATATTAGATTCGAGAGGCCTATGAAGCAGTGAGAGGACTCACGGGAAAGAGGGGAAAGGCCCAGGGAGGGGGAGCCATCTTGGGTGGAGTTCTCTGTAGTGCAATCAAGACGACAGTAAATTTATTTTTAATTGAAGGATAATTGCTTAGAGTATTGTGTTGGTTTCTGCTAAACATCAACATGAATCAATCATAGGTATACCTATGTCCCCTCCCTCCTGAACATCCCATCCACTTCCCTTCCTAACCCACCCCTCTAGATTGTTACAGAGCCCCTGTTTGAGTTCCCTGAGTCATACAGCAAATTCCCGCTGGTTATTTATTTTACATATAGTAATGATGTTTCCAAATTACTCTCTCCATACATTCTACCCTCTCATTCCTCCTACCATCCCCCTCCTGCCCATGTCCATAGGTCTGTTCTCTATGTCTATGTCTCCATTGCTGCCCTGCAAATAGGTTCATCAGTACTGGCTTTCTAGACTCTATATATATGTGTTAGTATAAGATGTTTATTTTTCTCTTTCTGACTTACTTCACTCTGTATAATAAGCTGTAGGTTCATCCACCTCATTAGGACTGACTCAAATGCATTCCTTTTTATGGATGAGTAATATTTCATTTATATATGTACCACAGCTTCTTTATCCATTCATCTGTCAATGGACATCTAGGTTGTTTCCATGTCCTCAGCTCAGTTCAGTCTCTCAGTCATGTCCGACTCTTTGCAACCCCGTGGACTGCAGCACACCAGGCCTCCCTGTTCATCACCATCTCCCGGAGTTTACCCAAACTCATGTCCATTGAGTCAGTGATGCCATCCAACCATCTCATCCTCTGTCATCCCTTTCTCTTCCTGCCTTCAATCTTTCCCAGCATCAGGATCTTTTCCAATGAGTCAGTTCTTCCCATCAGGTGGCCAAAGTATTGTAGTTTCAGCTTTAGCATCAGTCCTTCCAATGAACACCCAGGACTGATCTCCTCTGGGATGAACTGGTTGGATCTCCTTGCAGTCCAAGGGACTCTCAAGAGTCTTCTCCAACACCACAGTTCAAAACCATCAATTCTTCAGCACTCACCCTTCTTTATAGTCCAACTCTCACACCCACACATAACTACTGGAAAAACGATAGCCTTGACTAGATGGACGTTTGTTGGCAAAGTAATGTCTCTGCTTTTTAATATGCTGTCTAGGTTGGTCATAACTTTTCTTCTGAGGAGTAAGCGTCTTTTAATTTCATGGCTGCAGTCACCATCTGCAGTGAGTTTGGAGCCCCCCAAAATAAAGTCAGCCACTGTTTCTACTGTTTCCCCATCTATGTGCCAAGAAGTGATGAGACCAGATGTCATGATCTTAGTTTTCTGAATGTTGAGCTTTAAGCCAATTTTTTCACTCTCCTCTTTCACTTTCATCAAGAGGCTCTTTAGTTCTTCACTTTCTATCATAAGGGTGGTGTCATCTGCATATCTGAGGTTCTTGATATTTCTCCCAGCAATTTTGATTCCAGTTTGTGCTTCCTCCAGCCCAGCATTTCTCATGATGTACTCTGCATATAAGTTAAATAAGCAGGGTGACAATATACATGTCCTAGCTATTGTAAATAATGCTGAGTGAATGTTGGGGTACATGTGGCTTTTTCAATTTTGTTTTCCTCAGGGTATACACCAAGGAGTAGGATTGCTGGTTTTATTCCTGGTTTTTAAAGGGATCTCCATACTGACTTCCACTCATGGCTATATCAATTTACATTCCCACCAATAGTGCAAGAGGGTTGCCTTTTCTCTACACCCTTTTCAGAATTTATTGCTCTTGGATTTTTTGATGATGGCCATTCTGACTGGTGTGAGGTGGTATCTCATTGTAGTTTTGATTTGCGTTTCTCTAATAATGAGTGATGTTGAGAATCTTTTCATGTGTTGACTAGATCTTTTGCCCACTTTTGATTGGGTTGTTTGTTTTTCTGGTATTGGTTTTTATGAGTTGCTTGTATTTTTTTAAAGTTGATCCTTTGTCAGTTGTTACATTTGCTATTATTTTCTTTCATTTGGAGGGTTGTCTTTTCACCTTGTTTATAATTTCCTTTGCTGTGTGAAAGCTTTTATGTTTAATTAGGTCCTACTTGTTTTTTTTGTTTTTATTTCCATTACTCTAGGAGATGGGTCATAGAGGATCTTGCTGTGATGTATGTCATCGAGTTTCTGCCTATGTTTTCCTCTAAGAGTTTTACACTTTCTGGTCTTACATTTAGGTCTGTAATTCATTTTGAGTTTCTTTGTTGTATTGTGTTAGGAATTGTTCTAATTTCATTCTTTTACATGTAACTGTCCAGTTTTCCCACCAGTACCTTCTGAAGAGACCGCCTTTTTCCCATTGCATATTCTTGCCTCGTTTGTCAAAACTAAGGTACCCTTAGGTGTGTGGGTTTATCTCTGAGTTTTCTATCTTGTTCCATTTGTCTATATTTCTGTTTTTGTGCCAGTTCCATACTTGATAACTGTAGATTTCAAAGATCTCCATCTATGTTTGTATGTATATTTGGATGGGCAGGAGAATGGAACCAACTATTGGTTCTTGGGAGGGCTGTTCGGGAATAATAGTGTTTGAATGGGAGATGGTTAACTTTTAAAATGTATACATTTTCCCCACTTTCCCCCTCAGTTTCCCCTTTAGAGTGAGTGTATGCTACTTTAATCATTTTCAAAAAGGAATTTTGAATAAAATATCTTCAAGTATCATATCCTTCAGAAAAATATCTTGGTAATATCCTTGAGCTAATCCATGGCAGAATTCACCACTTCTGCTATGGGCCCACACTGTACACAGTTCTATTGTAGTATGTATTATTTTGAATCAGGGATTATTGTTTTATTGCTGACACCTTCATTAATCTACACTTTCCTCAAGTGTGGACCATGCCTTATTTATCTTTGAATACCATTTGCCTACAACATGACTAGCAAATAGACAGTGATGAATAAATGTAATAAATGTTCAATGAATGCTCATTAGATGTGTAAATGGGCAATTAGAGCTAATGGCAGAGTGATTCAGGAACTCCACTAGGATGAGAAACAGGGCTCAAATGAAGAGACCAGGTATAAACAAGGAAAGTTAAGAGTCTAGTGGCTTTGATTCTTCTAGCAGTTAGAGCTATGGTCTAGGATAGAGGCAACATTCCAAAAGAGGTACTTGATCATGCCTTTGGCATATGGGATGGAATGAAAGGGAGTTAACAGAAAATTAAGCATAAAGTCATCACATGGAAATAGTTAATTTCCCCAAATTATGAAGGCCCTAGCTCTGAATTCACAGTATAAAAGTTTCTAAGCCAGTCATATATAATTTGGGCTTCCCTGGTGGCTCGGCACTTAAGAATCCACCTGCCAATGCATGAGACACAGGTTTGATCCCTGGGTTGGGAAGATCCCTGGAGAAGGAAATGGCCACCCATTCCATTATTCTTGTCTGCGAAATCCCACAGACAGGGGAACCTGGTGGGCTATAGACCATGGAGTCACAAAAAGTCGGACATGACTTGGCAACTAAACAACAACAGCAACATATTTATTAAAGTATGAAACCCAAACTTTTAAACTTTCCAATATAAGAAACGCCAGGATAACTTTACTAGTAAATTCTATCAGGGAATAAATAAATAGTGGATCTATAGAAGACTTATTAAAAATGCAGAAAACAGGGCTTCCTGGTGGTCCTGTGGCTAAGACTCCATGCTCCCTATGCAGGGGGTCCAGGTTTAATCACTGGTCTGGGAACAAAATCTCACATGTCACAACTAAGAGTTTGCATGCTACAGCTAAAATCTCCTGCACCTCAATGAAGATTGAAGATCCTGCATAATGCAATTAAGACTCAGTGCAGCCAAATAGATAAATAAATATATATTTTTAAAATGTAGAAGAGGGAACAGTTCTCCACTAATTGTTTTAAGAGCTTTATTGAGATATAATTCACATACTATACACTTCAACCTTATAAAGTATGTAGTTCAGTATATTTTTAGTGTATTCATGGAGTTGTCATAATCAGTTTTACCATTTTTTCATTGCCCCTGCAAAAAAACCTATACCCAGTAGTAGTCATTCCTCATTTCTCCCTAATCCATCCCCCTCCAGCCCTCAGTCAGTCAGTCAGTTCAGTCGCTCAGTCGCTTCTGACTCTTTGCGACCCCATGAATTGCAGCATGCCAGGCCTCCCTGTCCATCACCAACTCCTGGAGTTTACTCAAACTCATGTCCATGAAGTTGGTGATGCCATCCAGCCATCTCATCCTCTGTCGTCCCCTTCTCTTCCTGCCCCCAATCCCTCCTTGCATCAGGGTCTTTTCCAGTGAGTCAACTCTTTACATGAGGTGGCCAAAGTATTGGAGTTTCAGCTTCAGCATCAGTCCTTCCAATGAACACCCAGGACTGATCTCCTTCAGGATGGACTCGTTGGATCTCCTTGCAGTCCAAGGAACTCTTCAAGAGTCAGGCAATCATTAATCTGCTCTTGTTCTCTATAGATTTGCCTATAAGGAACATTTTATATAAATGTCATCATACAATATGTGGCCTTTTGTACTTGGCTTCTTTCACTTAGCATAATGTGTTCAAGGTTTAATCATGTTATAGTACGTATTACACTTCATTAAGTTTTATTACCAAATAATATTCTTCTGTATGGATATACTGAATTTTATTTATTCATTCATCAGTTGATAGAAATATGAGTTATTTCCACTATTTGCCTACTATGGATAATGCTGCTGTGGATATTCTCATACAAGTGCTTAAATGGATGTATGCTTTTCTTTCTCTTAAGTATACACACAGGTGGGAATAGAATTTCTGGGTCATGTGCTAACTCTGAGTTTAATCTTTTGAGGAACTGCCAGATAACTTCCAAAACAGCTGCACTATTTTACATTCTCAT